AAAGGATAAGGCTCAAAATGGGACAACTAAGGATATATTTAGTGCAAAAGTGGGATCTTTAGGCTAAATGGACTTCAAGGACAATCAAAAAAATTCTAAGATCATTGCACCAACCAAACTCAATCAAGACCAATATTTTAAGACTAACCGGGCAAGTTCTAGTTAACACAAGTGAATACAAGACATTATTCAACAAAGCCTCACCATAAATGACATGAAACTATTCAAGATGGCACAATTCAACTTCCTAAATCATAGTTATTTTACACTACCACCTAGTAAATTGGAGTCACAAAAAGAGTCAAAACATTGTCACACAATCATTCATTTTCACAAAAATATTGGAGGGGTGCTCATTTCATGATTCACAAGGCTTGACTAAATCTATTCGTACCAAACAAGTCACACCCTCACATCAAGGCACCACCAAGCCAACAACACTCAACAAAATAATGATTTGCCTTTAAGAATGACGTCACCTGGTCTATCATTGGAAAAATTCAAGCATTTTTATCGAGCCTTTGCCATGGCTTCCAAACTCACAAGGTACGGGTACTAAGACTTCTCTTGCTTCAAGGCATATAAGAATGAAACAGAACCATCACAAATTATTACTACAACAAGAAACTAATAAAAAGATACTACTATAATAAAACTAAAACATAAATAAAAATGACCAAACCACACAATAATCAAAAACAATAAAACATCTAAACAACAATCCAACATGTCAATCAAAATAAGATAAAATAACCCAAATGGGAGCACCTCCAACTAAAAATTATGTAGTGTCCTCACAACACAACTATGAAACTCAAAAAGAGAATACGAAGGGCTCCCTAGGCTACCTCAATCCTCTCCATCGATATCGGTGGCTTCACTATCCTCATCTCCACCATCATTGCTCCATGTAGCGGGCTCATCTCCATTTTCCTCATGCTTAGAAGTCGGGAGTGGCTCATTTGCCTTCAAAACTTTCCAAAGGACTTTTACCCCTTTCCACATCTGAGTGAAGACCTTGTCTCTACTCTTCTCGCGCTTTTTTATCTTACTATGTGAGATGCTTAAATCACCATGTGACTTAGCCAAACTGGTATAGGCCTTCTCCAGATTTGTAAGTTGAGATTTTTGCTTCCTTTGATCTTTCAAGTAGGCATCAAACTCACTTTGAGGCACATAGGATATTGGCCTCGAAGACGACTCACCTGGCCCTTGCATCAGCTTCGCCACTAACTTTTTCATGACCTGCAACTCACTTGGCTATGATTCAAAAGGGCCCACCGTTGAAGGTATAGGAAAATTATCCTCCACATGCACATGCGCAGACTTACCAGAGTCAACCTTCCTCTTCTTGTTTTTTATCATTGTTTCATCACCATGCATCTTATGTGCAAAGATCAGATTTTTAGGCTCAATCCAAGTGTCACTAGGAAGCACATCCACCTCAGCTCGTTTACAAAGCTCCGTGCTCAGAGAGGGAACAACGAGCTATAGGTTGTCCTGCATTTTGAATTCTCAGAACTCATTCATAATCAAGTGACCTATATATTCAGTAGGACATCATCAAGTACGCAAGCCACTATTTGTGCTTGCAATACCGGAATGTTTCTAATGTTCCCACTTAGGAAAATACAGCTGCACACGATTGACATCCATGTACTTTCCTCTGCGGTCAAGTTTAAGCATAAGATCGAGGCCTTTGTACGGCCCATAGAACATTTTAGCCTGGACATAGCTTTGAAGTCTGCCAAGCACCCGACTCATAATCTTAATCCGTAAAGGCCTTGATATCATGGTTGAGTAACCCATATATTGCATTGATTGCCTCTGGCCCATAGTTGACAACCTTGCCCTAAATGATTATTAACATTGATGTCATGTCAGTCTCCATGGGGTTGGCATAAAACTCTCTCACCCATTTCTCATTTTCCTTGCAAGGTTTGGCTGCAAAGCATATCCATCCGGATGTTATCAACCTTCGGTAGAAATTCGAAAGCATTTCCTCAATTTTATAAAGTGATATGCCTCTTTCCCAAAAGTAACTTCTTCTTCATCAAATCAACATAATAAATCTCTAGTGCTTGGGGAGATACAAACCAATGTTGGTCATATTCGACCACCACTTCCTTCTCAAACCCAAGATTTGGGACTCTATTCCTGCCATGCTTAGCTCATTTTCTCTTTTTTTTTGCATCATTGTTCCTCCCAGGAACAAACACCAAAAATTAGCACAATTCAAAGGGTAATTATCCTCTTTCTTTACTTGAGTGCCACAGAATCGTAAGAAAAGGGCCACAAATGAGTGCAAATCCACCACTCATCACATGATCTAAACTATAGAACCCCAAAAGACACTACACAAGCCACTTAACATATATTATACAAGATAATAGAAATGAAAGATTTCAAAAGAAGCATATTCATATTATAAAAGAGTTTGACAAAGCGGAAGTCTAACATAGTCTCAACAAACCATGTACTACATCAAACGAAGTGCTTGGGACATAATAAATACACCACATACAATGTTTGAAAACCTAAATAAAAAAAACTATAAAAGTATCTTGGTCCTCAGTACATGAGGATTTACCAATCTTCAAATGCAAAGAGAGAGATCAGCTAGCCACAAGTATGTGAGATATGAGTGTCAGACCCTACATTAGAGAAACAATGTAGGCGTAAGTATTACCAAGCTAAATATAAAGCATTATAATAAAGTGAAAATAAAAGCACAAAACAAAAACAATAAAGGAAAAAAGTTTGTGGCAATTTGATGGTTATGCTTCCTCTAAAGATCATAAAAAAGATGTTTTTTCCATTTTAAGTATGTGTATACCTGCAGAAAATTTATATAGTAACTGAAAATATTTAGGCCCTCATAATGGAAGTACCATTGCTTCCTGTAAAACACTATTTTCTTCATTTAGTCTTGCAACATCATCCCATGTCTCACCCCTGGATTAGTATCCTACATTTCCTTTTCAAGAGGAGCAATTATTTTTTAAAATGTAGTTTCCTTCTTTCTTTATGAAATGTTGTGTGGTAACTAATTTAATCGATTACCACTAAAACTAGGTACACCACATTAATATTAGCTATAATATATGTGCATAAAGTTTAAAATAGGGTGGAATTATAGATCTTCAACCAAAGCTTTAGCGGTGAGAAATTTCGAGAAACCATCTGAATCCTCCTTGAGGAGCTTCCTTAGAGTCCATGGCATCATTTGTGCAGGCACGCATGAAAACTTTCTTTTACTAATGGTGAAATGTAAAAGTGGTTCCTACATAAACTGATCTAGTACAAAGTATGAGTTGGACCAACCATCCTTGAACACTAACACAAATTTAAAGTAAGTGGATAATAATTTGGGATGGAAGTAGTAAAGCCGTTGAAAGGATAACGCCTAGATCCAAATTAAAAGACATATATATATATATATATACTAATTGAAGAACTACTATACATGTTTATTGCATATTTGTTTGTTTGTCTTGCTGGACGGAGTGTGTAGAATGAATAATCAAGGTATCGACATCTAGAATCCCTCGAAGTGAGATTGATAGTCATAATCCATTCTAGTGCGTCCATCGGGCAGAGGTAGCCATCAACATAAGTGTGAACTTGTTGAAGTTTTTCATCATTTTTCTCCTTTCTGTTGTAATTTGGAGCCAAAGCAACATTAGAAACAATGAATTATTTTACTCTAAATTCCTTCTGTGTTTTCGGTGCATTGGAAAGTTGGGATCGAAGGCCTTAAGATTTTGGCATGAAATTGTTTTTGAAGAGGAAAGGTGTTGGCTTATTATGATTTTGAAGAGGTTAAGAGGCCAAGATGTTAATTCTAACAGTTTTGCAGGGAATTTGCAATCTCTGTTTTTTCTGAAATGTTACTCCCTCTATTTCAAATAGAATGACCTAGTATCCTTTTTAATTTGTTTAAAAAAGAATGAACTATTTCCTTTTTTTGGCAATAATTTAACTTCAACTTTTCACGTGGCATGTTTAATGCCACAAAATTAAAGGGTATTTTGGTACATTTGACATAACTTTAATTTAGAACCACAAGATCAATAGTCTTTTTCCTTTTCTTAAACTTCGTTTCAAATCAAATTAGGTCATTCTTTTTTAAACGGAGAGAGCATGTTATAAAATTGGACCAAACTTTCAAAAACAGAAGAAAAATAAAATGGGAGTTGTCAAAGGCAGCAGTCTTCCGGTGTTTAAAGAAGGGGGAAAAGGGCAGTTTATTAAAGGGAAAATTAAAGGGACTTTAAAGCAAACACCAAAAATACTCAAGATGTAAAGGGTAATTGGAGAAGCATTGTAGCTGTTTTTGTGTGAAGATATAATTTTTTTTGTGACGTAATTTAAGGCCAAATAAATGCAATTCTGGCATGTGGTTCACGGCACAAGGAGGAACACCAAAAAGGATTGTTAAGGTGATGTGCTACATGGATTATAAACATAGAGGAGGAACAAATGATATATATATATATATATATTGATAAGATGCAGAGTATTCAACAATGGAGGAAGAATTATAGAGGAGATGTGTGAAGATACATGGGAGAAAAGAAACTGAGAAACCTTCTCATTATCAATCAACACAACTAACTTGAGCAAAGCTCATACATCTGTATTTAAAGCTAAAATGCTACAGCTTAACTAACTCTGACAGAATTGTAACTAACTTGTTTAACAAACTAACTAATCAACTAATTAATTACAAACAACTTTAATTCAACTTAATTGGCCAGCTGGCATATACGTATAACTTCACACCCCTCCTCAAGCTAATGGTTGGAAGCGGTTCTTCAAACCAAGCTTGGACATTAAGTAGTCATGGGATAGTCTGCCCAGACTCTTAGTAAGCAAGTCAGCCAACTGCTCCTTTGTAGATACATGTTGTGTTTGAACCAAATTTTGTACTATCTTCTCCCTTACAAAATGACAATCGATGTCTATATGTTTAGTTCTCTCATGAAAAATCGGATTAGCTACAATTTGAATAGCAGCTTTACTATCACAAAACAGCTGCACTGGTCACCCAACTCTTTATACAAGCCTTCTAGCCAAGTTATTTCAGCCACAGTAGAAGCCATGGATCTGAACTCAGCTTCTGCTGAGCTTCTGGATACTGTGTCTTGTTTCTTCGACTTCCAAGACACTAAAGCATTACCAAACATTACAATGTAGCCAGTGACAGACCTCCTTGACTCAATACATCCTCCCCAATCAGAGTCACAATATGTTGTTAACTTGTCTGTGTCTTCTGAAGGCATAAGTAAACCAAGTCCAGGCTCAGCTTTAATATATCTTACTGCCCTCAAGGCAGCCTCCATATGTGATTGTTTTGGTTTGTGCATAAACTGACTTAGCACTTGCACTACATAGGTGATGTCAACTCTGGTCATTGTTAGATAGAGCAATCTTCCAACTAGTCTTTGATAAGGACCTACATCATCCAGAATTCTACAGTGTCTTCTGTTTGTGATCCTTTTATATGATCATCAAAGTCAACAGAAGTCAATTTGATATTGGCTTCCATAGGTGTGCTAGTTGGCTTAGCTCCACCTAATCCCATCTCAGCAATCAACTCTAGAGCATACTTTTTCTGGCTCATGTGAATGCCCTGCTGTGACCTGGTAAATTCAATGCCTAGGAAGAACTTCAATTTCCCCAAATCTTTCATCTTGAATTTGAGCTTCAGATCATTTCTAGTCTGTAGAATTATCTTTGAACTACTGCCAGTAACAAGTAAATCATCTACATATACTAACACCACAACAATTTGAGAATCTGCCCGTTTGGTAAACAAAGAGTAATCAAAATGACTTTGACAGAAACCAAGGTCTATCAGAGCTTCAGTGAGCTTCTTGTTCCACTGTCGAGGTGCCTGTTTAAGACCATATAGAGACTTATTGAGTCTGCACACTTTACCAATCCCCCTCTGACTACCAAACCCCTGAGGAACATGCATATACACCTCTTCATAAAGATCACCTTGGAGGAAAGCATTATGAACATCCATCTGAAAAATAGGCCAGTGTTTTGCAGCAACCACAGACCTCACCGTGACCATTTTAATTACAAGAGAGAAAGTTTTAGTATAATCAAGGCCCTCTTTTTGACTGAACCCCTTTGCAACAAGTCTTGCCTTGTACCTTTCAACTTCACCATTGGCTTTGTATTTGATCTTGAATACCCATTTACATCCAATAGGAGATTTACCGGGGGAGATCAACTAAAGTTCATGTGTGATTATCTTCCAAAGCTGCAATTTCTAGCTTCATAGCATCAATCCACAGAGGATTCTTTACTGCATCAGAGTAGCTAGATGGTTCTAAAGTAGCTGAATATGCAGCTAAAGCAATGCTATAAGACTGGGACAAGCAGTCATAGGCAACATAATTGGAAATAGGAAACTGACAAGAGACAGGGCTCATAGAAGGAGCTACACAGTCCTGCATCCATATAGGAGGTTTGGTGGTCCTGTGGGATTTCCTAGGAGCCACATCAAGAGGCAAGGTAGGAGGAGCAGAGGGAACAGGGTCAGAAGGCATAGGAGCCTCAGCACATGCAGAGGGAGGATCATGAACAAGGGTACTAGACACAGGAATCTGCACATTATCAGGAGGAAAATAGTCAGAGGAGAGTGAAGGCACAGGAAACAGAAGAGAACTCTTATGAACTGGATGATGAAAAGGAAAAATATCTTCCTTGAAAAGGACATCTCTACTGACTATGAAGTCTTCCTCATGAAGAGTACACATGATATAGCCCTTCTGAGTAAGAGAATTACCAAGAAGGACAGCAAGAAGAGCTCTAGGAGAGAATTTATCGGACTTTCGAAGACAAGTAACATATCCCAAAGAGCCAAAGACTCTGAGATGACCAAGATCAGGAGGTTGGTTATGAAGGACTTCAAAAGGAACCTTCCCCTGAAGAGTGGAAGATGGTAACCTGTTGATTAGATAAATAGCAGTTGTAACATAGTAACCCCAGAATTTAAGAGGGACATTGGATTGAAACCTTATAGCCCTAGCAGTGTCTAGGATATATCTGTGCCTCCTTTCAACCACCCCATTCTGTTGAGGTGTGTATACACAGGAACTTTGGTGGACAATACCAAGAGTATTTAACAAATTTGAGACTTGGGAATTAAAAAACTTACACCATTATCAGTTCTGAAGAATTTAACAGATGCAGAATACACATTCTTAATCATCAACATGAAATTTATGAGAGCTACTATGACTTCAGCTTTGGAGGTGAGAAGAAATAACCAGGTATACTTGGAGTGATCATCAACTAGTGTAAGGAAGTACTTTTTACCATCATGAGTGGGGACTCTGTAGGGACCCCATACATCACCATGAATGAGTATAAAGCAGGCATCAGACAAAGTAGAACTAAGAGGAAAAGGAAGTCTGGATTGCTTAGCCAAAGGGCATACAATATAATGATCAGTATCAGAATCAGTAATACAAACTTTATCAAAGTATTTCAGCTTCTTTAATGTGTGTATAGGCACATGCCCTAGTCTTTTATGCCATAAAGCTAGGCCTATGCTATTTTTCTGCTTTCTAACTAGAAAAGAACAACAACTGGTCTTATGGAGACTTTTATTCTCAGCAGCTTGCTTCAAAAAATTGCAGGAAGAATTCATCACATATAGACCTTGATCATGTTGACCAATCCCTCTCACCTGTCCACTGTAGAGATCCTGAAAAATACAGAAATCAGGATAGAAGTTGACTGAGCACTTTAAGTCCTTTGTAAGCTTTGAAACTGACGGTAGATTGTGTTGAAAATCAGGTAAACACATCACATTATGAACTGTCTGATTATCCAAGACTGTAGTAGATCCTAAATGACTAACTTTTGCAATACCTCCAGTAGGCAGGGACACATTACCTGATCTAGAATTAGAGCAGGATTTAGCATCAAATAGAATCCTAGGATTGTTTACCATGTGATGAGTAGCCCCCGTATCCACTATCCAGTTAAAACCACCAGTAGGAGAGGTAGTATAATTGGACATACCTGATACCGAAAGAGTTGTACCATTACTTTCATTGCCCTGATCAAGGAGGTGAAGAAGTTGGTGATATTGCTCAGGTGTGAAGTATGGAGCACTTGTATATGGTCCTTGAGAAGCCATATGTGATGAACTTTCTCCAAATTGACCTACAAAGTCAACATTAGGAGAATTTGGGAACCCTCTAGATGCATTTATAGAACTACCTGCATAGCCTCCAAGATCAGATGCAAGATTCCTATTCCATTGAGAGTTAGCATCTCCAGCAGCATAGTGAGCAGTCCCTCCCCTTCCAGCTGTGGGTGAGTTGCTAGACTTCTTCTTGAAAGTGTGCTTGAAGTTAGCAGGGTAACCATGTAGTCTATAACAAGTACCACTGGAATGACCTGTATGATGACAGTAATCATAGTACAGACCTTGATTGCCTTTTGCAGTCTTAAGGTTCGATGATCCATTAGGCATACCAACACCAAAGGTGGAATTATCACCAGAACTAGAGAAACTTCCTCCATGATATCTAGATCTGGAGGATGTATTACTAGAGCTTGATCCCTGTTTAAAATTGCCTCTATTACCAGAGCTGTAGAATGCAATACATTCACCCACCTCAGCAGATTGAACTGTTTTGCCCAAAGATCTCTGGCTTTCCTCTGAAACCACCATGGAATAGGCTTGGTTAATGGAGGGTGTAGGAGACATTAAGAGAATCTGACTACGACTCTAAGCATAGGAATCGTTTAGGCCAGTCAAAAACTGCAGCAATCTCTGATACTCGAAGTGATGCATATATGTTCTGGACTCTGGACAATTGCACCATGGGCATGGCATAATTGCATCAAATTCATCCCAACACTCACGTAATCTAGAGTAGTAGCTAGATACAGTGGAAGTTCCTTGAGACATTGTATGAATCTCCTTATGAAGGTAGTGAATCCTAGATCCATCAACCTTATCAAAGCGTTCCTTTAGATCGATCCATACCTTTGAAGCATTAGAAGCATAGATGACACTACTCAGTAAATCCTTCCTGATAGAATTGATAATCCATGAGAGCACTATGGCATTGCACTTCTCCCACAGATCATGAAGAGAATAAGGAAAAACTTCTCTAGGATGCTTACCATCAACAAATCCCAATTTGCTCTTTCCCAGCAACCCTAGACGCATTGATCGACTCCAAATTGCATAATTCTCCTGTCCAGTAAGCTGAATAGAGACTAGAGAACTTCCTGGTGTATCACTTTGATGAAGATACAATGGATGATGATGATCAATCTCTACAACCTGAGTAATTGTTGGTGTGTTACCAGTCTGATCCTCAATCGCCATGAATACGCACCGGGAATTTGTAATCTAAAACTTAAAGAAATACAACGAAATAACAGCTAGGTTGAGAACCTAAGCTTTGATACCATGATAAGATGCAGAGTATTCAACAATGGAGGAAGAATTATAGAGGAGATGTGTAAAGATACATGGGAGAAAAGAAACTAAGAAACCTTCTCATTATCAATCAACACAACTAACTTGAGCAAAGCTCATACATCTGTATTTAAAGCTAAAATGCTACAGCTTAACTAACTCTGACAGAATTGTAACTAACTTGTTTAACAAACTAACTAATCAACTAATTAATTACAAACAACTTTAATTAAACTTAATTGGACAGCTGGCATATACGTATAACTTCACATATATATATATATATATATATATATATATATATCGCAGGAAGAAGGAAAAGAAAGCATCACAAGTCTGACCTTGATTTAAATTCAAATTGTTTCTTAATTACTAAATAGCCGCACAAAAAATACATCCTTGGACCTTTGCCAATTGTGAATAATAAGTCTATTTTCGTTCAGTCCACCAACAACTTAACTAAATTTCCAAGGCATAAGGAGATCATACCCTAAAGAAGTAGATGATGATTGGGGAAAACAAAGTAGAGAATTGTTGGAATTGAATTTACATATATCATCAATTCAGAATCTTCCAAGTCCAATACATAATTGTGGACAACAAGTGTTACCTTTCTTCAGGGTAAGTATATTTCGATGGGTGTACACAGAGAAACCAAAGTAGTCTGATTTTGTGCGGCGATCATCTGAATTTCATTCAGGCGCTATACCAGGTTAGAAAATTTGGGAAAGATTTCGCAGAAATTATGCAACTAGATGGGATGCATCGGTTGATGGCAGAAGACTACCTTTTGACCTTCTCTTCTTTAATTTAGGAAGAGAAAACTGAACTTAAAATCCTTTATTTAAGGAAACAATTTTAAAGAGTAAATTATCTTTTTTTCAAAAGTAACTGCATCTTTTTTTAGAAAAAAAATGAATTGCAGTGAAAAATCATGCCTAACTTTTTCAT